AAAACAAACTACGCAAAGACTCTTTATCAGGGACACACAAACGTTTATTCCCTTCCTTCTCGAGAAACAGCAAGCCATTGACTAACTCAAACTCGACTGAAGTTTGTTTATCCTTCGCCTCGAGTCTGCGTACGATCTCAGACATAAACTGGTCCTCTCGATAGGCTTCCACCAAGGATCGAGTGACATCTTCAGTAAGATCGTACTCAGTAATCAGTGCACCTGAGAAGTCAGGTCTACGCGACAAGGCATCAACAACCTTGTTGTACTCACCCTTAATGTACTGAGGGTCAAAGTCATACTGCTCAATGACTTCTATCCAATGCTTCAATGCGTCAGAAAGTACAGGCTGAGTTCTCATCCATCTCAAGGTCTGATGGTCAGTCCTGAGGATGAAGAACCTCCCAAGGAGATAGTGTCTCCAATGGGTCAGCGTGTTGAACACCGCATAGAGTTCTTTCTCATAGGTGGACTTAGCCAACTTCTGAGACGGCATTTTCTTGGACATATACTCGACAGGCCTCAACTTTGGCCCCTCCTGCTGCGCAAGCACGGTGCCAATGCCATATTGGCTAGCATCCGTGGTTACTATAAACGGTTTATCAGGATCGGGAAGTTTCAAGACTTCATAATGCATTAGTGCATGCTTCAGATGTCTGAATGCAGCCTCGCACTCTTTTGTCCACTCCCACGGGGTGCCAAGGCGGGTCAGATCAGTCAAAGGAGCGACCACTAGGCTATAGTTCTTTACAAAAGTCCGGTAGTAGCCTGTCATTCCTAAGAAAGATCTCATCTCAGTCATAGACTGAGGTCGTGGCCAATCACGAATGATGACCACCTTCACGTCATCGGGCTTCAACCCTTCCGCAGAGATTTCATGACCCAAGTACAAGATACGGGTGCGGCCAAACTCGCACTTTTCACCGTTGATCTTGAACTTGTGCTGTCGCAGGAGACTGAGAACTTTGTCTAAGTGTGCAACGTGCTCCTCGACAGTCTTACTAAAAATAAGTACGTCATCGAGGTACACGACGACAAACTTATCTAGGTAGTCATGGAATATCCAATTCATAGCGTGTTGAAAGGTGCCAGGAACATTGCAAAGGCCAAAAGGCATCACCACAAACTCGTACAGACCGTACCTGGTCTGAAATGCGGTTTTGTGTTGATACTCGGGCCAGATTGCAATCTGATGGTACCCGGACTTCAGATCTATCTTACTGAAGTACCGACACCCTTGCACTCTATCTAACAGATCGTCAATGCGCGGTAGGGGCTTTCTGTTCTTTACAGTGATGGCATTGAGACCCCTATAATCAATGCACATCCTGAGAGTGCCCTCCTTCTTCTTAGGTACGAATAGTACTGGAGATCCGCAAGGAGAGACACTCGGCCGGATCCAACCCTTCTCTACGAGTTCCTTGAGTTGGCGGCGAAGCTCATCAAGCTCGCTTGGAGACATCCGATAGATCCTACCCTTCAGAATACTAGACCCTGGGATAATCTCTATCGCGTGGACGACCTCCCTATCAACAACCCCTGTTGGCTCTTCAAATAGATCAGGGTACTTGCCAACTACTCCCTCTATCTCCGGCGGTATTTTCACCGGCTCGCCTGCAGCAGAGACATAAACTAAGTACATACCCTTCTCCTGATGTTGCTTATAGTAGTTATAGAACGCGGTCACACACATGCATCCATAGGAATCGATCAGACTACTAGCTTTGAACTTGTGTAGTCTAGCGGTCCCTCCACCTGGCAAAATGTGTTTGGCTACTTTTCGGTCCCAGTCAAACTGGGGCTGTGCCACAGAGAGGTAGTACATACCTAACAAGATATTCACAGGGAGATCGTCGCTCACTAGGAATGAGACACGATGCCTCAACTCCCCTCCCGCGAACGGGAACAGGCATTCTACATCCTAAAGGTAGTCATTAACTACCATGCGCTGTTTGTTGGCACAGGTCAACTCCACAGGTCGACTCAGGCGCTACACTTGCCCCTGTAAACGCAGCCTCTCAACGCACGCGCGACTAATAAAGTTCCGTGTCGAGCAAGTGTCATGATAGGCCCCGGCCTTGCGGCCGCCTACGGCTATCTTGCTGACGAACATCTCACCCTTCGGGGCCTTAGCTAGTGCCGTCCAAGAAGCTAGCGGGTCTAGTCTAGACCACTCCTCCTCTAGCTCCTCTAAGGACTCAAACACATTCATCGAGCAAAGGGTCGATGGGTCTGAATGCGTTTGTGGGACGACAAGGGAATCAGTAGCTTGGGCCATTATGCGAGATGGCGAGGGTGTTTCCACCACCTCGTCCCTAGTAGGAACAACTACTATTCCTACTGGTCTGACGTGTTTCCCGGAGCAATGCTTGATGAACTGGCAACATTGCTACCTACGGGAGATGAGGATCCTACCGCCTGCCCCATAGTAGGCGGGATCTTATCGGTGACCTTCTTGTTCCTACATTTGAACTGGTTATGGTTGTATTGACCACAACGGATGCAGGCCTGACGGTTCCACCGATCTCTCCACACGTCCTCGGAAAGACCCGCTTTCTCCCATGGAGGAGCATTGGGGTCAACTTGATTCCTAGACCGAGAGCCCCCTCGGCATCTACCGGTCCCCTTACCTTTTTGTTGGGTTACGATGGCGACTACTCCACCCTCTGAAGTATCGCCACTTGCCTCTGCACCTACTCCCTCCTGGAAGTTGCCGTCCAACTCGATGGTTGAACCATCGTTGTCGACAAACATGATGCAACCCTTCGCCTTCCAGTTGGGAGGCAGTGTCTTCTTCCTCCCGTTCGTAGTGGGTGTCTATCCATGCCCTATCTTTGCTTCTAGGTCTAGGGACACCTTGCTGAACGAAGGAAAGTTGTGAATATTGATGTTGGCCTCTTTTGCCAACTGGTTCCTGAGAGGCTGGGATAAGCATCTCAAGTACGAAGTCAGCAGGACCTGGGGGTCATAGCGCACACCTGGGACACAGATTAGACGCTCAACAGCGTCAGTGGCTTCCCTAACCGGCTTAAACAGCTGCGTGTCAGTGGCCTTTTGGGCCTCCTGAGGATCATGCCATCTCTCTTCCACCATCTTCAGGAAGTCCTCCAGTTTCTGAGAGGCTGCCCAAGAGCGGAAGTCATGACCGTGCCCCTGGAGTTGTACTAAACCACTCAACCATCTTGCTGCACTACCCTCTAGGTAGGATGTAGCCACAAGCGCTTCTTCGTGCGGCAAGGTGAGTTTACACCTGACGTAGACCGACACTGCCCTCAACCAAGTGTCGAGGTCTTCGCCTCTCTTGTCCCCTGTAAAAGGTTTRGGAGCGGCGATGGCCGTCTTTGGAACCCACTGAGTTTGTCCCGGTCCCTGCACCACCCCGGGCTGTGGACCCGGTGATACAGGTTGTTGTGCTAGCTGCTGGGGCTGTGTGCCCTGTGGCTGCATAGGTTGCGAGACAGCAGGCTGCGCGGTAACTGCAACATACAACGGACTCTGGGTGAACACTGTCTGTACAGGAACCTGCACACTATTCCCTGCTGTTACCCCTCCTGACAGAGGCATGCCCAGGGAAACGATAGCAACCGATGACGGGGCTACATATGGGGAAACCCCAATCACCGGTGGAACAGAAAAAGGAGGATATGGCACGGGCCAGGCACCAGGCCCTGCCGGTGATGGTGCTCCCTGAGAACGCCCTACCAAAATGGCTAGGCTCTGCTGGATATCATGAAGGATGGTAGTTTGATGCTCCTGCATCTCTATTACTCCTAGCAGGGCCCTCCTAACTACCCTCACATCGTCATCCATGTTCGTCAGGTCCATCGACTCTAACTCCTCTATGTCTGCCCTTCTCCGTAGCATCATGGTCCTTCTTCTAATCATCATCTCCTTCTCCCTTTTTATCTGTTCTAATGCCTGCTGTAGCTGTGCCTCTTGCAGGGCTGCCTGCTGGATGGGGACATCCTCTGGGGTCAACACCGCGGGCTGGCTTGCCATTAAGCCAGTGGACTGACTCACGGTCTGCGCGACCGTGGACCCGGCGGTACCTGAACTACCGGCTTGGGAAGTCTGCTGCGCAGACGTGCTCATGGTTGTGGTAGCCATGGCTGTTGTAGCACCGGCCTCGCTAGCTAATGCCCTGCTGGCCTCGACTGCTCTAGCTCTCCTCTGCTGTTGCCTCTCCCTTTGCCGGCGGAACAATTCCCTATCACCCTCCGGTCCTAGGGACACGTGAGTTATTGGGCCTCTAGCTGATCGCAAAGTCCTGCGGTTGTCCTCTCCGGTGTCCTCCCTGTCGCTCATAGGCTACAACACTGTGCACCGTTTACACTAAATCATTCAGGATGCCTACCTCAACATAGTGCACAAACCAACTAATTAGTGGTGCTATTTTGGAACAGATCTCATTTGGGGTCAACAGGTAAGTCAGATCCCTACTGTCAATACTATTTTTAGTAAGATTAGTTCTCAAACAGAGGAAGCATCAGGTATAAATAATATTCTAAACTAATGTTGTCTGTCAGATGTCACATGGCTGTCCATCTAACTAATCAAAAATAAAAATAATGTTGACTGACCGAGTCTGTTATCAGCTTGGAATTTAAACCCGAACTTATCACCTGGAATCTACCCCTCCCTTTGTTCTTCTCAATGTCACGGTGTCACGTTTCTACGCATCAGAAGCCAAGCGTGTCTAAAAGGTGTGCAATCCGGTCCCACCCCTGTGCCCCAGGTTATCGTCGAGCAAGGCAGCCACAACACTCTTATTTATCCTCGTACGCCAACGAGCCTTACACTTGGTTGATCTGGCTGATCAAGAGGCAATTTAACGTCCGCCCCCAAGTGACATCAGGAATTATTTTACGTCGCAACAGGACGACGATCACAGCCAGATCAGAGCCGAGTCCCCAACCAGAAATGTTTATAGACGGTCTGGTATGCGTCTAAAGAGGCTGCCACACTCGAGTTAACCCCTATCTTGCGCAAGCGACAGAACCAACGACTTGCAGCGAAGCATGCGTGTACTAGTCCCAGCGGGTTGGCATGGTGACCGTGACCCGAGTGGTTCGTCCAGGACCCTTCAAGAAGCTCCGCTCGTCTTCCCCCAGATGCTCCACGTGAACAATCACGACTCTCAAGGTTGAGCGCACTCGACACCTCACGATGAGAGGACTCTCAAGACAAAACTCACAACCTCACGGTAAGAAGTGATGAAGAGGGTAGATAAGGTTAAGAGCAACGTACCTCATTCAAGCTACCCCCAACCACAAAGATAATCTCACCAGATGACCAAATGGCGATTGTGATGACCAGTCACTGCATCGGCACAACCAGCATTATCCACCGTTCCACCTCAGCATCAATCGCACATTAGATAGTTCTCATCACGCTGTCCAGACCACATACACTTCACATAGCCTTCCTGGCGAACATCTCACCTCCTGGGTCGCCTTCACACTCGTCTCCACCCTCCTCACTACACACCACTTACGGCCAAACTCGCCCAGCAGACCGCATGTATGTACCACATAAGGCAGAAGACAAGCGCCCGATGAGCGCAATCGTACCACAGCTCCGATACCAAATTGCAAGGAAGATGAGCATTAGCGAACTCCAGCAATCAAACAGCATCATACATATGAGTCCAGATAGTCTTGACCTCGAACCAACAACAGAAATGCATCACGAGATTCACCAAATAAGAACACACCAATAGTTCGTAATTGACAATGCTGAAATAGTCTTTCATCATCATCAACGAAGAACAAGAGTTGATATCTTATTGGCGCTCGGCGCCCAGACTACATGTGACAGATCCTATCTAGCCTAATACTACAATGTCGATGTTTACAACAACAGCTTCCTGAAGTAGGAGCATACAACGGACAATGCCGCACGCTTCCAGCACCATGTATGTCTCTCGCAACACTCACAACCCCGATCCACACCACACAGATGCCACTAGCACCCAAGGACCACCCTGCGCCACACCCAGCTCACAGCGGAGCAGCTCGGCTATGGCTGCCCGCTCCTTCCTGCTCGCCCGTGAAAGTGTGAGTGCCAGCCAGCCAGCAAATAACGCAGCAGCGTTTGCGCAACATGCAGCCAGCACCCGAATGCCGAATGAGGAGGCAGGTCCTTCCCTATATCGAAGTGGCCTGCCTGCGTCCAGTCCAGGAAGCTTCCAATAGGCCCCGGTAGGCACAGGCCCAAACCTCACACGCAGGCCCAGGGCCTAATGGTTACATGTGCCCAACTGCCCTTGGTCTGCTCACGGCCTTTCCACGTGTCTGGCCCAGGTCACCATTCAGATACATTTGCAAAATATGGCCTGGGCCTGGGCGCCTTCAACCAACTGGCGCAGCGCAACTGTCTGAATTTCACCAGTTGCGGGGTACCCTGAAAATCGAGGCCATGAGGGTCTGTCGCGCCTGCCTTCACTTAGGGCGGCCGACGTGCTGCAAAAAGGGGCCCGAAGGGGCTGAGCGGGCGTAGCCTCGCAATTAAAATATAAAAATATATTTAAAAAAATAATAATAATAATAAATAAAAAATAAAATATAAACAAATTAAAGGATTGCAAAAAGTAAATAACAAACATAAAAAAATAAAATAGAAAACTATAGTAAAATTTAAATATATAAATAAGGAAGGTAACCGCTCTATTAAAAACCTTCCTTAATAAATAGCTCAAGTTCTCGCACCCCCGGAGCCACATAAGGAAATGAAGAAACCGAATCAAAACGGTACCGCATACCAAACGGCGAACCTAACAAATACTCACAACCGATACACACCCCTTCAGTTGACTATTCCACATGCGCTACCCAATCTTATACCCAACCGCAAGACCATATGCATAATACAGGCGTTCCCCATCTAAGCACTACTTAAGTTGGCAGGCATCAAAACTCAACCTATGGACACTGACAATAATGAACGATGTTAATAGTTAATTTTGTTATAGAATCTGACCTAACTGCTTGCTTTGCCCAGATTGCCAAAAATAGGACTGGAATACTGCAATACACTAACCCCTTGCGCGCATGTAGAATTGTGCAGGATCAGGACAGTATCTTAATGGAATGGCATCCATAACTTGTCTCTGCCATTAGACCGTTCTCTGCCCTCAAGCCACCCATCGTACACTGTCAGATAGCCATGCTGGCTATTCCTGCAGATGTTCTGCTGCGCGTGCATCATGCCACTAGTGGACAGGCTCCTTTCCTAATAGAGAACCTCTCTTTTAGCAACGGGGCCACCATGGTTGCCGTAATGCAGACCAGACCCCACGAACTTGATGACAAGATCAAAGAGCTTGCCTCCAACATCGCAGAGGTCTGCAAGAGGGTGGCCATCAAGAACAGAGAATTGAACCTCATCGTCGCCAAGGTTGAGAAGGTCACCCTCGGCATCCATGGCTACGACACCTCACATCTGGACAGTGCAGGACAAATCTCAACCAATGAGAGTGCAAAAACCTTCACAAAGACGTACATCAGCAGCATCTCGCTAACGCAAGTAAAATTAGAATACTTCAAAAGGAAGGAAGCAATGAGAAGGGACTGCGCCCACCTCGACGTCTCCACTGTGATCAGAGATACTAGCCACAAGTTCGGCAAAAGCAGCCCCTTCCTACCTCTTGCCTCAAGCACGTGGACGGAAAAGGCTGTTCAACGTGTACGTAACCGACTATGGAAGTTGGACACGTTTAACTATACCGCACCAATCAGTGTCGATGCTTACATGGCACTTGCTGGCCTGAGCAGTACGAACATAGTGAACTGCCGAACTGCGGCCAAGAACGCCACGATCCACTTCCCGGCCGGAAGAGCTCGATTGGATGCAGACTTCCCGCGGATCTCCATACTGGCGAAGGGTAAATGTCCGAAGAAGCCGCTGCTGCACCAGAAAGGCATCCCTAAGTTTCCAACGAACCTGTTAGAACTCAAGAAGTTGTGGAACGCCGAGAGACCCTTTCTCAAATGTGCATGCACTTGATGTGAGGTGAAATTCACATGGCTGGATCACATGCTTTGGTACGTCATCGACAACCTTGACAAGCTGGACCCGCATGCACCCTCAGACAAGATCAGGATGCTCGAGTTCCAAGCCCTACTGCGCTCCTCATGGAGAAAACCGATCTTGGCTCAGATCACGTTCCTCTTCATGAGAGAATACATGATCAAGATTGTGCACCTCATCACGCAGAACAAAACGAGTACCGCTGAAGAAATCCTCCACTTCGAAGACTTCAAGGACGTGCCATTCGTACGCAAGTTCACTGCATCACTCCTCCCCAATGCGGTGTTGGGCGCATCGGTCCGGTACCGCATGGGCAGCGCGGGACCCTCCCGGCCGCGTCATGCAGGAGTTGGTTCTTAATCCTCGTCGCGATATATATACATGAAGCTTCCGCAAACCGCTCCAACCGAGTGCGCCAGCCATACCTCTCGCGAGCCCCTATGACAGGATAGGGCCTACGCGAGGCACAACTTACCTCCACCTTGCGGGAGCTGTCACCTCCCTTTGGTGGGCGTATCCTCGCCGAGCTACCAGTCCATAGTACGAAAGCTAATCAGCTGCAATCACAGAGGTGGACCAGCTGATGGCGTTTCTTGTTCGCTGCAGCATAGGGGGTACGCGCGATAATACACCTCTATCGGACCCGCACGCGAACCGACATCTTGGGGGGCTGAGGTCCAAAGCGTGGCTCATCGCCGGTTGATTAGGACGCATCCCACTCACCACGCATACACCACTCTACAATCATAAACACAGAAACACACACACACACACACACGAAACGACACAAAACAAACAACCCGACTACACTCCTAGTCCCTCAGTAGCCATCTCATAACTTTCTGACATGGAAATCGGATAGGCGTCGCGCACGAGACTTAATATAAAACCGCGCGGAAGCAGGACCTTCTTATATCGACTCACAATGCCAACGTATGCAAGCAGTCACGAAGATGACGTACTGTGCAGTGCCCATAATCAGGCGGTCCCTCGTGGATCCGAGTACCGCTTATGACACTCAAGTGTCAGACTCGAAGTGCAGCGAGGGTCTACTCCCTCACGACATTGAGCGACTGAAGGAATAGTCATCCGACCGCCGCGAGACCTCCGACCTTTGGCCTAAGCCTCTCGGCTCGCGGGGCAAATAGGCTCTGCGCGGGGGGGGATTCCTTCCCTGCAGAGTCTAGGGCCTGGGATGTCCTAGACAAGGACCTCGAATCCCGGCCCAGGACCAACGTCGAACTAAGAACCTTCAAGAAGCATACACACAAATTAGAGGGGGGGTCTTTCCCCTGTTCTCAATCTCAACCCCTAATAAAACCCTTAGTACGCGGTCCCCTCAGGCCACACGAACATCCAGCGTAGGTACACGTACATACATAAATATATATACAGGTAAGCGAACAAGTACGTGACGATCACTTCTCACAATCACACCGGGGCTCCTTACAACCATATATATATGTGTGATCGCAGACAGTCCAATCCAAAATCCGAACCACAGTACATACCTGCAATCACATCAAAGAGTCAAATAAAAGTCCAGGCACTACCCGGAGTCAACCCCAACCACTTTCTATACTCATACCCCTCACTTTAGCCATGCAAACCCCAGCCTCTTGTCCAACCAACCATAATTAAATACTCAGTACCTTTGTTAAATGACCATTCAAGAAAAGTCCGGGTGAAACCTTAACAAAACAATAAAATCACCAGGGCTAAAACCTTTTAGGTTGAGTATTGAGGGTGAGTTGGAATTGAGTCATAAACCAACGGATCGGCCACCGACCTGTTATCAGTGATAACAGAAGATGATCCACTTAGGATCAAGCAGAAACTAGCCAAAAATCCTGAATCAATCGATTAAGAGGACCTGTAACACATGAGAGGCCAATCCCCCAAGCTAAGTCTATAAGTCGAGGGAGAATAATCCCCTTATCACGATCTCACTCAAACCATCCCAATTAACTAATGTCTAGGTCTACTTCTAAGCAAGTGCCAAAGAAAAGGTAGACCCTGACAGAATATCCCCTATATAGAGTGGATTCTCCAAAATCACCACCTGTCAAAATATAATCTAACTCCTCTAAACTAAAAAAATTTCGGCAGCGCTTCCCGTTGGTAAAGTGTCCTCACAGAATTTATATTAGCTCAAAAATCAAACTTTTAATTCTAGAAAGTTAAAATTTTGTGTAACTCCCTGAATTAGTAAAAATTTGGGCATCACTTCCTTTAGAAGGGGAGACTTCCCAAATTTATACTAAGACAGACATGAAGTCAAACATAAAATCTGAGTTGAACCAAGATAAAATTTAACTATCTCCTTAGATCTGTAGAAATTTCGGCAGCGCTTCCCATAGAAAAAGTGTTATTCCAGAATTTATATAGAGCTAAGTTTGAAATATGAAATGACTTTGAATTTTCAAGGTCTAATTTTGTCTAACTTCCTAACTTAGCAAAAGATTGGGCAACATTCCCTTTAGACAATGAGGTTTCCCATATTTTTACTAAGTCAAAAAGTCAGAAAAGCAGGACCCTGAAAAGACAAAGTCTTACTAACTCCTTGGTTTTGTAGAAATTTCGGCAGCGCTTCCTGTAGAGAAAGTGACTTACTAAGATTTATACAAAGACCAACTATAATAAAAAATCCCAGAAAAAGCAGAAATTGATCTAAGTAAAAAAACCATAGCTTAGAAAATGCAAGAATTGAAACTAACTCCTATGACTCTAGCATGTGGCGAACAACTAAAGTAACTACCTATCAAACTGAAACTCAGACCAGATAGTCACCTCACTCAGCCACATGCAAGCGAAACCACAAAGGTAAGTGTTCTCACCATCCCAAGTTTATCTGAACAAACAATAGTTCATAATCCTTTAAATGATTTAACCCCTTATACCCAGCTTACATAAGGCATGAGGTCATGACACCCAAACTTATGGAATGTGCCTTACTTAGCCAGACATAAAGTCAGGCCACCCAAACTTATGGAATGAGCCTAATTTAGCCAAAGAATATACACAAAACAGAGGGCACAACTACTTCTCTCTTCTTTGGGCATCTGACTAGGTCATTATAGTCGCCCAAAACTGCTTAAATAGCCAAGTTGTATATATCTCTCTGAACTTAATCTTTAAAGTGGGCGTAGGATTGAACCATTCATCTTAGAAACAATGCTCATCCGACCCAAATTACCTTCAATTATACTCTTAATTAATACTCTCTTCAGTTTTTGATAAGCTATAGTAAGGCCACCCAAACTTATGGGACCCTGCCTGACTAGCCTGTTCATAGGTAAAAATAATAATAAAATATAGTCAAATTATAACTTTTGATCCAACATATGCGGACTTTGAGTCAGACCACCTGAACTTACAGAACAGTCTGACTCTCTGTCTGATTCCTTTCTCTCTGATCCAACCTAAGCGTGGCATTGGGCTAGATCACCTAAACTTATAGAATGATCTGCCCTTTGTCAAGTTCATTTCTTCAAAATAAAACAGGAAGAGGTTGAGCCATCTAAACTTATACAACGACTCAGGCTTCCTCGTTCAAAACCAAATAAACAAAGGAACCCCAAAATTAAACAAGGCAATCAAGGCACCTGAACTTACAGAACATCTTGGCCCCTTAAAAAGTCAATCAAAAGCAACACTCGCAACCAGACCACCTAAACTTATAGAATAGTCCGGTCCTCAAGGCAATCCCACAACACCAAGTCTCCCAAAACTTATGGGGACTTCCCAACCTTCAAAGCAATCAGACCACCTAAACTTACAGAACGGTCTGACGCCCCACACAATCCAAAATAACGCATAGCACCGAGTCTCCCTAAAACTTATGGGTACTTCCCAGCCTTAAACGACCCAATCAAATCTCATGCAAAACTTCCTTCCTCCCAACCTTCCCCCCAGATACAATCCCTTTTTGTTCACAATATGCTTTCATGCAATCAATAAACTGAAACTGAGATTGCACAAACATTCTTTTATTTAGTATGAATTTGTGTCCTTACAGTCAAACTCAGCGTCGAAGTATAATGCGAACAGTATACTCAGTCAAACTGCCGGCAACCAGTATTCTCACAAAGCCTCGAGTCGCAGCGATAACCCCCTTCACAGTCCGAATTCTCCTCTAAGTCCCAGCACCCCTCTTTAGACCAATCGCTGCTACACAGCAGCCTGAAGCAATTTGCAGCGGCCAACGACACCCAGCAGCAGCTTGCAACAACCTCTACATAGGCCAAAACAACAGGCTCACGAACCAAATCGCCATCATGCTAAATAGCTGCAGTCTCTTTCCTCAGAATCCAACTGCCGTTGTGCACCCCGAAGAGGTGGTGCTCAGGAAGTTCACGCTCCACCGTCAACCATAGCCGCCACCCATGGTTCCCGCGGCAAAGCCAGTAAGGCACAACAGGTGCAGCATGCCAGCCAACATGTAAGACAGTATTCCACGATTGCCTTCTGGTTACGCCGGCTAAAGGAATGGGCGGCCCGCACGTTAGCAGGTAGGATCTGCAGCCTCCCCTCTCACTCATTCCTTCTTTCTGCTGGCGAGTAGCGTACCATCCCACAGACAATCCCACAACCCAACCAGATGCGCCCTCAAGCCCTGCGGCTTGCCCCACGCCGTCTTTCTCGATGCAGGAAGGCAGCCGCTCGGTTGACGATCAGCCTAGCAACATCAACAGTCACAGGAGTTCAATGAGCACAACGGGTGCTTGATTCTATGGTGACTTAGTGGCACCGTAAGCAGTAAGCATGGGCAGCAACCCCTCAACAATCACAGTGGTCCAGTCTCGACTACCAGCATTATGCAGCCAGGTTCTGCGTACAATGTTTACCCGACCACCGTTCAGCAGTCTTTGCAGCTTGTCTCACTCCGCTTCTGTTTAAGGGACCGGGCAATACCCAGATCTGCAGATAATAGTTGGACTCGGGCTGGTTTACACCGCAGGATGGGCTGCTTACTGGCTATAGGATCAGTTTGCAGGCAAGCTTCAACCTCACTGCTCGCCCCCAGCTTGTGTTTGGCCTCTCATTCTTCTGGTTCGACTGGTTACGTAACATACCGGCTAGTCAATAAGTATACGGTCGCTGCGGTCTTCTTTCCTCGTTACTCCGCTTGATGGGAAGAGCACTGTGTCGACTCACCGGTAAGTCCCTCATCTCTACCTCCCCCTTTGTCTCAGCCCGGCTCTCCTTTCGCCCATCCCCTCACTCTCTCTCTCTCTCTCTCTCTGAGCAGAGTCGAAGTGGGTTCTTCGATATGGGACGAATGAGGTCGTTGTGAATCTATCGCAAGTCGGAGCCCAGGTGCATTCGCGGACCGGCGTGGTTGCGCGGATGAGCTTCTCTCCCCGGACAGACAGGATGGGCGGCGCACCGTGCTCACGTAAGTCTTCAACCCCGCTGTTCGCCTCCCGGTACCTCCACAAACCAGAATGAGCAAAGTCGAATGAATCCTCCGCCAGAACATGGAAAGATACATTACTTTTTTCAAAGTTCCTCTCTCCTGGCGCAGCTCGATTCTCCCTAGCTTAGAAACCACAACTCTTTTCCTAAATTTGTCTCCACTATCCAATTCGCAACATCCTGAAACCCGAGTCCCTACCTTTTCCCCACCTAAATCCATCGAAGATCAACTAGAGTCTTCATCTCCTACCTCTGCCATCTTCTTCTCCCATTATCTTCGTGCGGTCTATTTCCCTCCTACTGCCCCTCCTAGTCATCCACACGCCAAACTAACCCCACTAATTGATTCGAAAACCCCCACTTAGAATCCTACCTCGCTCGATTCTATAAGGAATCGGGGGAGATATCAAATTTTCTCCTCCTATCATATCTGCTTTCCTGCCATAGCCACCACCGCGCACCATGTTTCTTTCTAACCTCCATTTCTAGTCATCCTCCCTCCACTCTGGTTTCACCAACGAGGTCGCCCCGTCCAAGAACTATTGAAAACGAGTCTCGATTTGCCCGATTCCATCGAGAATCGGGCGGTTTACTCGCTTTTCCCTCTCACCTTCCTCCTTTACCGCTCGGCCATTGCCAACTCGGCGCACAAACGTTTCTTCCTAGCCCGCTACCTACTAATCCATTGTCAAATCTAACATAACCAGCGCGTTCGCCCGGGGCAAGAACCACCGAATCACCTCTTTGCCTACCCAAAACCACCCTCAATCGCATGCGCTCCCGCTTCCCTGCTGCGCTCGGGCTTGCAACCCGCCATTTCCGTTTCCCTCTTCGTGCGTGCACCTAGCAAAGATCCCGTCCGGGTTCACTCTGCTCTTTTTTCTCTACCTTTGCCTCCCCCGCTACCTTCTTCTGCTTGCTTCTGGTACCTTCGCTAGTTCGGCGCCCGGACAACGAATTAGTCCTTCTTGTAGCGTAGCAGTACCTCCGGGCCGTTGCCCGCTGCCTCGGGATATACCGTTGGTCTGCCCCCCCCCCTGCTTTCAGCTCTCCGACGCGAACTGGCCGGGTCCGCTGTCCAAAGAAATATGTCGTTCGCCCCCCTCCGCCTGTTGTTTTCACTGAGCAGCTCCTATCACTCATAGGGGAGGGGACTCGGGGAGAGGCTCTACAACCGGCCCCTCCAAAGGAGCTCGGTCCTAATGCTATCAGCCGACCTCTGGCCGGTATCGCCCACCTGCTGTAGCAGGTACCACGCCTGTTGGCTGGTGCGGCTCCCCCATGTCCCCTCGTTGGAGGCTTGAGCACGGGGGTGGCTGCTATGGGGATCCCCGAAACACCATACCGGTAGTACCTCGGCGCAATCCCAAAATCAGTTCACGGCCGCGCTCCAAGCCACACTGCGAATACAACACACCCCTGCGCGACCTCATCGGACTTGAAATGTGGGTCATATATATGACCGCGCCGTGGTGGCCATTAACTCCGGTTCTGGTCCTGGTCAATGGCACGTCGGAGCAAGAAAAGAAATAAACAGAAATACAGCGTTATAAAGAATTATCTGGGAAATACCACCACCCATCACGCACTGCGGACAACAAAATCAAGGAGGATATCTCCACCGGGCCCTCGACCTCTTGGTCTCGATCCTTGAACCCCTTCAATATAAGTCGGACGCTGTAACCGCTAATGCTAAATCCAAGTCCGGGTTGGGCTCCGACGGACGCCTAAATAAATGGGTACCGCACGACACGTAGGTTTATCGCGACGCTTTTCCAAGATCACATCGTCGTGGACGCCGTCCTCCGTACGTGAGCACAGGTCACGGGCAAGCGCAATCTTTTTAATCTTAGTTTAATCAAAATTTAAAACTTGGCCGGCGCCCACGCCGACTCTTCAGTCATCAAAGATAAAAAGAGATCACGCGCGCCCTAAGTCTACGCACCCATACACTCTCTACTCCAATCGGCCACTCAGTCAACGTAACCCATAAACTCAATCGCGCCTCATGCGGTATACTTAAACTTTTAAACCAAAACTATTTCTGTCATTTGCAAAGACCAGGGCGGATACCCTTGTAAGGGTGTTCGCACCGACAACTTACCAGACCATATTAAGCGACGTCCCCGTCGCCTTGCACGAATCAGAAAGCTATAAATCCATCCACATTCCGAACGCTGACGAGAAAGGAACCAATCCGATTAGCCGACAAACTCAGGTTCGAGGCCTCCAACAATTTGTGCCTATACAACTGTATGCCGCCAGGGTTTCAACCTGGGTTTCCATTGTCCTGACACTAGGACACCGGGGTATTACGCATCAATACTACAGCATAAGTTCCAAAGACCTTCTCAAACCGTCCTCTCCCCTTTTGTCATAGACAAACGCCGGCTTCTCGTTGAGTGTCCCGGTTAGACTCTTCTTCGTAAGCAGAGCCACCCCTAGGGACGCGGACCCTAAATGAGACCTCAGAAGGTACTCTCGCCTTCCTCGCAAATTTTTTTCACAATCAAACACATATGCATTTATACACTAGAAACTCATCTCAGCTCTTTCTGCAGTCTAGTACAGAAATCCTAGGTCCCCATCCTGACCCACCATAGTCTCGTTGATCGAGCCAGATCTACCGTTTATCGCATTGTTATCTTAGCGACAGTATCCCTCGTTGGTTACGCAACGATAGGTTTTTCTCCTGATAAGTATTCAATCAGGAATATCAAAAGACTCGACCCATATCCCCCGCCATCCCATCGGAGTAATTCCCTGAGGCGTGCATAACCCCTTAAACTCTTACCCCTTTAGTAGACGAGGGCCCGATGCCAGGTTGTGATGGCAAGCAGCCATCCACTAGAGGTTGCGCCCTAGAGGTGCTAACCTTTACCGCTTAGCTTGGTCTTCCTCAAAATGCCCCAGGATTAGCACAAAAGTCTGGACGGTGTGTCGCAACAAACCACAGGCCCGCTGCGGGACTACGCAGGGGTCTGTCTCACATAAAGACGTTTACCAGTTCCGTATGGGACAACATAGGGAGCACGACACCCTTCTCACAATCACAAATAGAAATCACCGCCAGGTTCACAAGACCGTGGCCCCCTGACTTAATCAGAGACAGCAAACCGCATATCTCGATGACACCTACCAAATACACTGATTCGCGACACGCTCAATTCCATCCAAAACAGTTTTTTTGGTCCTCCTCGTCATACTTTATCAACTCACACTTTGCTTACCATGCCCTTAAATCTATTAACCACCTTCAACACAAAGGAGGTCTCTCTCAATGGGTCTCCCAGCCATCCCTCGCTTTCCAGGATGAACTATCACGCGACCCGTTCTAAAACAGCTTTCTTTTGAAGATGAGTCTTCCAATAAACAACATTACCACCTTCCTTAATCGGAAGGGATCTCAACCATAAAACAACTCAAACTGAGAGACCAACTTATGGGTCCTCTTCACAACTCAACCATAAAACATTCGGCATGGTAAGCATTCGAGTCTCATAGACTCGCAACATCCCTTAGGATCCTCACACTTTTGTCACTAAACAACTGCACTACCTCTACTTATACTTGGCCCTTTCACCCGCCCGTAGGCAGATCGCACGAGTATACCGAAGAGTAGACAACATTCACATTCACACAATACAAGACATATGAGATGTATCCCACACATCTCCCACACAAAGCCATCATACAATAGGATGAAACCACACATACGAGAGTGATAGTGATCGCCACAAGAATAAGTCTCACAGGGTCTGAATTCAAAATACATCCGGGAGCAGAATATCTCCCTCAAAATTTCAACACAAATTCTCAACCCATCGTCCCACTCATCTGAGTAGAACTCATGTTCTCAATGTACAACTCACAGAATACACTCAAGAATACTCAGTCCACTGTCTCACCCCGCTGAGTAAACTCATATCCTAAGTGTTACGAACTCTTAAATCCACTCAAAAATACAAGTAAACCCAAATTATAGAAATTAAGGCGTAAACCGACTACTCACACATATCACACAACTGAGAACTATCTCCTAAGTTATACAAAAGAAAATCTTCAGATCTATCGAGTACTACCACCTACATATATAAGGCTAGATAGGGGTCACCTGACCGACTCAAGGTATGTACACCTCTAGGACTCACTTGGCTGACTCAGGGCATGTATATCTCTATGACTCATCCTCTATGTACAAATGGAATCCTAGTCCTACTGCCTCATAGACAAACCAGCCCCTACTCACTCATTTCCTCCCGGTTTTGCCTATATAGTTGAGACCTATCCCCATCTACAGTCCGCTCTACCACCCAGCCCTGTCTATCATAGAATCTGCCACCTCTCGCTGTAAACTGTCCTGCTGCCTCGTCCTTGAGAAACCCCTCACACTGTAGAGCCCGATGCCCTTCCTCTTTGCAAAAGAAACAGGATGAATCAAACCACCTTTTGGGCTTCCCCTTCCCTTGGGGGTTTGGAATCGATGGTACCCCCGCCGCTTCCGTGGTCTCCTCGTAACATAATGGCAACCCCATGCAACCCTGAGGTCTGGGCTCTGCGGCCTGACGCCCTCACTACCTTGTGCACCCGCGTTCCCTGGCCTATACTCAGGCGTATCCAGTCTTTGGGGTCTCTCCAATGGTATGTCTACCTCCATGGCGGCCACTAGCTCGTCTAAACGAGATGTCTCATCCCCCATCGTCTCACGCTCAGTTGGCACCACTGCCCCTGTAAGGGTACCTCCCCGCACCTCCAAAAGGATCGTAGGGGACTCCTCCGCGAAACCTTCTTCTGCCGGCGGAGATTGGGCTCTCTGTGCTGGCTCCTCCGCTGGGGTCGCCTGCTGCGAGGCTAACTCCGTGGGAGCCTTGAAGCTAAAACTCTTCTCTTCGGCTTTCCTCTTTGCCTCTACTTCCGCTGGATCCAGGGACACCTTTTTTATCTCTTCCTGTTGAGGAGGCTCTACCGCCCCTCCCTGGCCAAAGAGTCCCTGCACCCTCTCACCCTGGATACCATATCTGCTCTGCTCTGTCCAATCAACCACCTTGGTGGCCGAAAGCCTCTCCACAACCGCCGCCATATCTTGGAGCCTCTTTTCCCACTCTGCTTCCTTAGCTTCCATGTGAGCTCTCCAGGCTCGATTTTCCGCCTTCTCTTCTGCCAGCTGAGTAGACAGCTGCTCCACCACCAACCTTGAGGCCGCCAATTCATCACTGAGCAGGGTATACCGATGGAATGACGTGGTCGCTGCCTGGCGTACCCTCCTCTCCGCTCGCTCGATCGCCAACCTGGCGGCGGAAAATCCCAAGTCTCCAGTCTCTCTTACCTCGTCCGCCCCCTCGTTTTCCTGTCCTATCTCTCGCGACCTCAGGCGTGCGACATCCCTCCTGCTCTCGTACCTAGCCCACCGTGACATCTCATCGATCCTCTGCTCACTTGTCTTGGGATCGATTGGCGGCGCTGGCGCCTCTCCTGCGGCCCCCATCCTGACTATCTTCTCATATATTTCCGCGAGGCGCGCTTGCACCCTGACCGACTTCTCCTCAGCCGTTTCCCCTGGTGACCTTCTCGCCCACGCTTCGCGGGCCTCTCGCGCTAGAGCCTCAACACTCACTCCTCCCTCTACATGTGGCAACTCTGGCGATGGCTCAATGGACGTTGGCATCTCAGTATCCGAGTGCTCGATCACATATTCGGCCAACTGCGGGTCGATGGTCGCACGCGCCCCTGCTTCCTCGTTTTCTTCCTGGCCCCCTGCCTCTACCATCTTCGGGGGTGAAGTGATAGTTTCCGGTAGGGGTACCGGAACCTCCTCAATGTTCGGCTCGGGAATCCCTTCCGACCATGGCTGCTGTACCCGTTCCGGGACCGGGGTACGAGGAGGAGTATCGTCCCTAACGGTAATAACCTCCTCAATCTGTGGCTCTTTTGACTTGTGCGGCTCGGTCCCTAGCTCGGGGCCTTGTGGCCCTTCCGTCGGTTCGTATCGTGCTGGTTCAACCAGACCCACCCCCAACCGCGAAGTCCCCCATTGAGACGCATCGAGGTGGGCTTCCAGATTCCTGAGCGGTGCCTCTGACGGTACACCTTCTCCCTCCTCTAGCAATCTCGGCGAAGGCCCCTGTAGGTCACTGCTAGTGATCCGGCGGAACTCCACTTGCTCATGTTCATGAGTAGGGAGTGACCCTGCTGCTTGAGTAGGCTCCACTAACTCCTCTCGCTGTGCCAAGGCCTTTCGGCCTCTCCTAGTCGCAGTGGCCCCCCTCGTCTCTGGGTCCCGCAACCTCTTTCTTCTCTGCATTCTCTCAACATTGGGATCTGGCCTCTCAGGCTCTGGCCGTCGGAACGCTTGCCTCAGCTGAGCCTGGCAATCTTCCCAATCATGCGCCCTATCCCGAATTTGTCTTGCCAATGGCCTCTCCGCCCTTCGCGTCCAGAGGAGCAATGTCTGCATCCACTCTTCCTGCGCGGTCCCCTGATCGCGCATATACTGCTCATAGGCTGGAATGAACTCCTGCGCATTGCCTTCCTCCAGCCGGATAGGCAAACCCTCGCGTCCCACCGGCAAAGCTCATAACCTCTGCATTCTTGCCTCCACATCTGACCAGGTCAAAACCTCCTCTCGGATATGCGCGATAGGCTCCTCGAAACGTCCAACCCCTCTCAGATTCCGTATCATCTCCAGGGTAGTCCATCCCTCTCGTGTCGCATGAGCCTGGTAGATGTCTAAGAAGAGCTCTATGTTATCATCGTCGAAGACAGGCGTGGACTCTCTCCCAAATGGCCTGCGGTGGTCATCCCACCCAGATGCTCCTAGGGGCCTTTGTCGTGGCCATGCGCCCCTTCCGCCCCTCTGCATGGCTGTCTTCAAAAATTCAGACCTGCACATCAGGGGAGAGGAAGCAAACAGGCACACAACAAGATCAGCCATCAGGTCCGTCAAGTCTATGACAAACACATACATACCTACCCCTTCCTTTCCCTACTTACTCTAACCAGGACATGCGAACCCTTTAGACAATGGTTTATTCTGGGGGTATGAAACTCTTTACCTATTCCTTGGCCACAAACTTCTTTAACCTGGTCCCTACACCTAATCCCGCCATCCTGTCTCGTCCAGCTCCTCGATCTGGTAGGCTCCAAATTCGCCGCACCGCAAGATCCTATAGGACCCTATCCACCTTTTGTCGAGCTTTCTCGATCATTGCTTCTCCAAAGAGGAGTCGTACAGCAATACGACATCCCCAACTGCCAATGGTTCCTTCCTCACTCGCGCCATCTGGTCCCATCGCATCTTATCATCCATGCGGCTCCTTTCCACCTGATCGGCGGCCTCCCTTAACCTTTCTTCAGCAACCCCTACTTGTCATGCCCGAACATCGAGCAACTCCTCGAAAGACAGGTTGACTTCCAATTCTTGGCGCCTCCAGGTTTTCATAAAACTTTATATGGGAAAGGTGGCGTGCCTCCCATACCACAAAGTGACTGGCGCGTACTTGGTAGTTCTTTTTACCGTAACATTCTCTACAAAGAAAGCTGCTCGCAAGAACTTCGGTCACTGACCGGGTTTACCTTCCGTCCATTTGGCTAGGAGATTCATGATGGTACTGTGCCCCCTTTCAACAGGTGCATTTGCTTGAGGATGTGCAGCGGTTGTATAATTCCCCACTACGCCATACCCTGCAGGCAACGTCCGCACCTCGTTGCAAGTGAATTCTGATCCTCTATCCACACAAACTCGTTGACGAAAGGGTAGCGTAGATACTACTCTTCGATGCAGCTTGCCAAGACTGGGCCGGTCTTCGTGCGAATAGCCCGACCATCTACAAACACGGTAAGGTTATCTCGCGCATCGAAGATGTAATTACATTCATTTTCCCCAACCGGCATGAAGAGCAGATCTAGATGTATAACTGCGCCTACTTCCCTCTCCAACCTTGGGTGTAGAGGCTCCCCTGACCTTTGCGCTGACCTTTCTTGGCAAGGTACACAAGAATGACAATACTTGATGACCATGTTCAACATTCCATCCCAATAGTATAACTCACTTATCTTAGCGTACATGGCTCCCTCGTGCCCTCTTGCTATACCGTCATGCAATGTTGCGATAATGTCGATCTGTTGGTTCCTCCCGCATGCAATTCTCTTGGGATTCCCGACCTGTCGCTTTATGAACAGATGGTCATCTCTTACCACATAGAGGTGCCTTATCTTGTGCGCCTTAGAACTTGCATCTCTATTCCTCATCTCACAGGACAGGAACAGTCCTAACTCTAGGTAAATTTCATCGTATTCTTCCGCACGAAAGACTTCCTTGATCTCTCCTTCCTCAAACTCATCATCTTGGCTTTCCGGAATGAAGTCCTCGCCCTCAATAGGACTGAATGAGCTCTTTCGGTCAAAGTCTCATTGCAGAAGCGTATTTGGAAGCAGATACACTCCTCCCATTAACTGCTCATGCTCCTCTACCTGAGTGGGGCCCTCCTCTATCGTCCTCACTTTGTCCGCCAGACTGTGTGTACCAGCCAATGCCAATTTCATCATCCAGTGGACATCCTTACTTTCCCATGGATCCTCCTCTTGAAAGGGCTTGAAGCCCAACTACTCCTTTTGCTCATACCCCCTAGGCGCTAGCCATATGGGGTTGTCGACGCAACTATGCACTCGCAAGGACCATTCATTTATATGGAGGTGAACGTCTTCTTCTTGGTCCAAGAACCTATCAACTGGTGGAGTGTTTTCTATCGACTCTTGATCTGACCCGTCCCAATTGATCGGCTCAATCCATCTGCCCTGTTCTTGTCCCCTGGAATCCTCTCCATCTCAAAGTTGAACATCCAAATGTACGTCAACCATCTTGCGACGGTGAGGTCAGATGGAGTATAGTTCTTCAGGGAACAGGCGAGCGCAGTGGGGTCCACCCTCAATATGAGCCTCCTGCCAAAAACTGAGAGTAGTTCCGGAAGATCCTTAGGCAATGAAGTACTGCAAGCGTCTTCTTTTTAAACTGAGAGTAGTTCCTCTCAGTCGTATTAACAGTCCGACTCTCGAATCTTAGCGACCTTTCCTTCCCATCGGCATCTGCCTGAACCAAGACTCCTCCCAGGGCAATTGGTCCAGCATCCGTCTCGATGATGAACGGTTTCTCCTCTGTGACTTCATAGTTTGGCGCCCCTAACATCAAGCGTCATTCCTTAAACTATTCCTTCATCCGCTTCACAGCCTCTTCCTGATCTCCACCCCAAACCCATTCCTGGTCCTGACGTACCAGCTTTCTCAGATGCTCAGTCTTGGCGGCAAAGTTCTTTACGAAGCTCCTCCAGAACCCACAAGTGTCGAGAAAACTCCTTACGTCCTTTATCGAACGAAAAGGTACCGACCACTTCACGATTTTGTCTGTCTTCTTCACATCAGGTCTTGGACCATTCTCATTACAGACAAAACCCAAGATGGTCGCTTCCCTCATGCAGTGTTTGGACTTTGGGCCACTTGCTGTAAGGTTGTATTCTTCCAACAGGCTCAAGACCCGATCAAGGTCCTTGACATGCTTCGAGACAAAACACCTTACTCCGGGCATTACTTCGTCTTCCTCTTTTTCTTTCAGGCTTTTGACCGCCAAGTCATCGATATAAGGTTGGGTGATTTGTGGACTAATTGTCTGCATGACTCTAATCATGTGCCTTTGCACCATCGCCACTACATTCGTCCAGCCTTGAGGGGCTACATTCATATGAATTAGCCCTCTGGCGTATGCATTGTCGTTACAGGCCTATCTGGCGGATATACAGGAAACTGGTCATACCCAGAGTAGAGGTCTATAAGTGAAATTATAGGCCTCCCTCCGCATGACTCTGACAGCACGTCCGCGTTCGGCAGTCCTCCGGCGTCTCGCACTGTCACCGCGTTTAACCGCTGCAAATCTTGTACCTACCGAAGAGTCTCGTTCGGCTTGACGAAGCAAAACCAGGGAGAAGCAGACGGCCCGCTGGAATAGTCAGCAACGTGCGTGCTCATCTTGCCGTCCAGGTAGTCCACCACCATCTTCTCCTCATCCGGGTTGGGATACTGCACGGCCCTTAGGTTCCATGGTTCGTGTGGGACCGTGTGGACCCGAATCATCAGAATCTTGTCCACATCCAGCCTCTCACGTTGATCGTCATTAAAGGCGTAAGCGTGATGCCTCTTCTTCATTAACCCCACCATCAGAGCCTTCTTTTGGGGTGAAAGGAAGCCAGACTCTCCAATTATCAGCTTCCCTTCATTCTCATCGTTGACACGATATGAACCGCTTGCTGCTTGCTCTCACATGCATCGTATCAGTCCTCGTTCCTGCTAGTAATAGGCTTCCTCATCTTCAGTAACGAGCACGGGAACTGGGCGGCACTTCTTATCTACTGTTTTGTACCGCGTTTGGGAACCCTGCTTAAGCCGTGCCCTCAAAAAGGTCGGCTTGCGGTTTGTGCTTGTGCCATCGCAGAATTTCCCCTTCGAAAGCCGATAAATCAGCTCCACCTATCCCACCTGAGGGTTCTCCAAGATCTGCTCCCTCAGCGCCCTAATGGTCTTGGGACCCACCATGTCGTGCGCTGCCACTACTTCCATAACCTTATTTATATCAGTAAGGCTTAGTGTCAGCGCTTCGGCCCCTCCTTCCTCCTCAAGCAGCTCTTAGAGTCTCCGCTCCTCGTTCTCCGATTCCTCGAAGGTGAACGAGCCGAGATTAGGCCTATTCCTCTCGCTCCCTGGCCTCGTGTTTCGGCAGGTAATAAGTTCGTAGTTCCCATAGGTCGGGTCACACAAGAGTAGGATCATCGTCCCATCGTGCTTATTAAAGATCAGAGTTCCCATTCGGCACAGAAACGATCTCCCCAAGAGGATAAAATGGTCGACATCTGACATGACGAAGAAACAAGTCACTGTCCGTACCTTGCCAATTTCTACGATCACATTGGATGTCGTGCCACAAAAGACAACCTTGCAATTGGCGCCATGTAGCATGCCGTGGTCCGAACGGTCGATCTCCATTCCCAGCATTATCGCTTTCCTTTCTCGGATGATGTTCGTCTCTGCACCCGTATCCACCATTCCACTGCACTTCTGGTCCCTCACCACCAAATCCACCTAGCCACACGCCACACACTTCCAGTCCATCCTCGTCCCTGCTTCAGTCCACTCTACCTCCCTTGGCAGGATCGTACTCAGGTGGACATTGGGCACTAACCTCCGCGAGAGCCGCCCTTTCAAACCATCACGGAGCCTTGGGGCTGACGCCAAAATGTCCTTCAAGTTCATTAGGTCATTGTGGCCTTCCAGGAGCCTGTCTACCATCCTTTCCACATCAAAACCCTCTTCCAGCCGAACCGCGTACTTCTTCCTCTTATGTACGCTGCCAGGTTGGCTTGGATCATCCTCCTCCTGAACCCCTCTCTTTCCGGCCCTCAGCTCCGCCTGCCGGTCTTCCTCGTGTCCGAGCCTCTCATCCTCCTCATCGTCATCCTCCTCATCCTCTTTCGGGGCTTCCATTACCTCTTTCCTGCGTTCGGGCTCAAGTTCCTTTCGAGGGGGCGCCTGACTAGGCGCCTGGCTGGGCACTTGACTGATTCCAGCCTTGTTCTGACTTCTGGTCCGTGCCGCCTGTGGCACTCTTCCATGCGACGTGGGGGGCCTATAGGTCATCCCCGACCTAGGGCCTGACCCCACAGTCGCAACCCTTGGGTACCCTTGTTGCCCCGTCGACGACTCGGGTCCGGACTCATAGAGGAAGTCTTCAGGGAGGTTGTCCCTCCACTCCTGGGTCTCATCACACAAACTCTTTAACTTTTGCTGGTACCCGCCCACTTTCTCCAGCAAGTCCTCCATCTTCTCCAGGATTGTTACTGTCGGCCCTCCCTCCTCTCTCAAATCCTCATCATCCGACTCCACGACTATCGGTTCTTCCTTTATAGTCCCTGCCTTTAGTCGCTGAGTCACCTCCTCGCTTTCTCCCGCAACCTCCTCGACCCTTACTGTCGGGTCCTCGCTTTCCTGCCACATCCTGAACATCGTCGGGGGTGTTGGTCCTGCCGACGCCCGCCTTTGGGCCTCCTGCCTGACTCCACCTAGAGTCTTTGGGTCAATATACTTCCCAAATTTATCGTATATATCCCTGTCCATATTGGTGGAAATCAACCCGGAAAGCTCATCATCCCTTCGCCCTTGGCAAAATCGTATAGTGTAGCCTTGATAACCACAATGCCGGCAGATGGCATTCCGCCAATCGAAGCGGGGCCTTCCATACCCTTGGCCCCCTTCCTGACCATCTTGGCCTCCTTGGTCCTGGCCCCCTTGGCCATTCCATCCACCGCCACGACCCCCGCCGTTCCTTCCTTGGCCTCGGCCACCCCCTCCTCGACCTCCCTGGCCTCGACCTCCATTGCTCTGCCCACCTTGCCCTTGGTTCCCTCCTCCCGCCACGCTAGCCTGCGACACCTGCTGCGAGGGTGGAGGTTGGGCCACGAATTGACCCTGGGCTGCTGGAAAACTTGGCGGTCCCGCACTCGCCAGTGGGCCTGAATAGGGAACCATCGGCCCTGGGGAAACTTGGCCCCCTCCCCACGAGTTACATTGATTATATGGGGGCCAGGGCACCATTGGGTAACAGGGAAGCCAGTGCCCATATGTTGCTGGTGGCCCCATTAGTGAGGGCCCTGCTGACATGGACGCACTCCCGGCCGTAGCCGGGGGCACCACAATCGTTTGTGGGATCTGACCCTTTCCAGAGCCCTGCCCGCCTGTCAATAAATTGCGTTGTTTGTGCTGCGCCTTGGTCAGGACCTGGGAACCCGTTTCCTCCCCACCGTAGTCCTCGTGTCCGGTCTCCTCGTCCACCACCTCCGACACATGACCTTGGACCACGGTCACCACCTTCTTCTGCACCTCGGCATCCTTGTCGTAACCCAACTCTGCCAGCACGTCCGTGACGATCCTCTTTACTCCAGGGGTCCCAGATGCGGTGGCGTCCCTTTCCTTCCTCTTCCGCCTTTGTAGGCGCATTTGGTGCTGCTCTACCTGGTCCAAACTTCCATCCTCCACTCCCTTGTCAATAGTAGTGCAAGTGAGCGTCGCACTTCCACCCCCGTGGCTCGTCAGCTCCGAAGCTTCTGAGGCAGTGAGCAATCCCAACAAGATAGCGCATTGTGCTTCTTCAGAAATCCCTTGCCTTTTTCTTAAACTCTTGCACAAATGCCCCGATTGTGGTGAAGTCATCCTTGTTCATGACCTCCAATTCTGATGTAGTTAGCAGACCATCACCCAGACTATACTTCCTTTGCATTCCATCCCTGAACCTTGCCCAAATACCATTGGTGGCATCCACAACCTTGCCCACTTCTTGATGATGCCCATGGAGGACGTACCTCAAAATCCGCTGGAATTTTACTTCATCTTACAGCCCCACTAGCGCTTGCTCAACCAGATCCAGACAATCGGAGAACCACTCTTCATTGAAGTGGATCGTATCAACCTTCGGAACATTGCTCGGCGCCCTTTCTCGCCTGTCCAGGGCTTCGATAAGATCGTCGAGCGTCGGGACCTTTCTTGAACCGGCGCCTACACCTCCCGGCATCTTGACCGGCTGCTCCTTTCTTAACTTCCCAGTATACAAAAAAAAATAGAGAACTTCATTCAGCAACCTGACTTTACATACTTTTATCAGGCGCCCTATATCACCCCTATACACCCTTAGTCTAACAGACACCACTCCTATTCCTAGGTTTACCTCGATAGAGTCTGCTCCCACCATAGGACTTCCTATGCAACCCTTTCAATCATACAATCAAGTCATATTACCAATCTAAATCACTAACAATTAAACCTTTCGCACATAACCACGTAAGTCACCATCGGTCCGACACTGCACGGGGCAGCGCGGGACCCTCCATACCTCCATTATATGCATAATCCTCTCGATCCAATACCCGGATGTCGCTCCACCAGGGATAATGGTAGGCTTCCGTTATCCCCGACAACGACGCCACCTGTCGGGCGCATCGGTCTGGCACCGCACGGGAAGCGCAGGACCCTCCCGACCGCGTCACGCAGGAGTTGGTTTTTAATCCTCGTATATATATATATATATATATATATATATATATATATATATATATATATATATATATGGAGCTTCCGCAAGCTGCTCCAGCCAAGTGCGTCAGCCAGAACTCTCGCGAACCCCTACGACAAGATAGGGCCTACGCGAGGCACGACTTACCTCCACCTTGCGGGAGCTATCACCTCCCTTCGGTGGGCGTATCCCCCTTGAGCTACCAGTCCACAGTACGAAAGCTAATCAGTTGCAATCGCAGAGGTGGACCACCCGAGGGCGTTTCTCGTTCGATGTAGCATAGGGGGTACGCGCGGTAATACGTCTCTATCGGACCCGCACGCGAGCGGCGAACCGGCATCTTGGGGGGCTGAGGTCCCAAGCGTGGCTCATCACCGGTTGATTAGGACGCATCCCACTCACCACGCATACACCACTCTACAATCATAAACACAGAAACACACACACACACACACACACACGAAATGACACAAAACAAACAACCCGACAACACTCCTAGTCCCTCAGTAGCCATTCCATAACTTTCTGACGCGAAAATCAGATAGGCGTCGCGCACGAGACTTAATATAAAACTGCGCGGAAGCAGGACCTTCTTATATCGACTCGCAATGCCAACGTATGCAAGCAGTCACGAAGATGACGTACTATGCAGTGCCCATAATCAGGCGGTCCCTCGTGGATCCGAGTACCGCTTATGACACTCAAGTGTCAGACTCGAAGTGTCGCGTGGGTCTACTCCCTCACGACATTGTACGACTGAAGGAATAGTCATCCGACCGCCGCGAGACCTCCGGCCTTTGGCCTAAGCCTCTCGGCTCGCGGGGCAAATAGGCTCTGCGCGGGGGGGGATTCCTTCCCTGCAGAGTCTAGGGCCTGGGATGTCCTAGACAAGGACCTCGAATCCCGGCCCAGGACCAACGTCGGACTAAGAACGTTCAAGAAGCATACAAACAAATTAGAGGGGGGGTCTTTTCCCTGTTCTCAATCTCAACCCCTAATAAAACCCTTAGTACGCGGTCCCCTCAGGCCACGCGAACATCCAGCGTAGGTACACGTACATACATAAATATATATACAGGTAAGGGAACAAGTACGTGACGATCACTTCTCACAATCACACCGGGGCTCCTTACAACCATATATATGTGTGTGATCGCAGACAGTCCAATCCAAAATCCGAACCACAGTACATACTTGCAATCACATCAAAGAGTCAAATAAAAGTCCAGGCACTACCCGGAGTCAACCCCAACCACTTTCTATACTCATACCCTTCGCTTTAGCCATGCAAACCCCAGCCTCTTGTCCAACCAACCATAATTAAATACTCAGTACCTTTGTTAAATGGCCATTCAAGAAAAGTCCGGGTGAAACCTTAACAAAACAATAAAATCACCAGGGCTAAAACCTTTTAGGTTGAGTATTGAGGATGAGTTGGAATTGAGTCATAAACCGACGGATCGGCCACCGACCTGTTATCAGTGATAACAGAAGATGATCCAATTAGGATCAAGCAGAAACTAGCCCAAAATCCTGAATCAATCGATTAAGAGGACCTGTAACACATGACAGGCCAATCCCCCAAGCTAAGTCTATAAGTCGAGGGAGAATAATCCCCTTATCACGATCTCACTCAAACCATCCTAATTAACTAATGTCTAGGTCTACTTCTAAGCAAGTGCCAAAGAAAAGGTAGACCCTGACAGAATATCCCCTATATAGAGTGGATTCTCCAGAATCACCACTTGTCAAAATATAATCTAACTCCTCTAAACTAAGAAAATTTCGGCAGCGCTTCCCGTTGGAAAAGTGTCATCGCAGAATTTATACTAGCTTAAAAATCAAACTTTTAATTCTAGAAAGTCAAAATTTTGTGTAACTCCCTGAATTAGTAAAAATTTGGGCAACACTTCCTTTAGAAGGGGAGACTTCCCTGATTTATACTAAGACAGACATGAAATCAAACATAAAATCTGAGTTCAACCAAGATAAAATTTAACTATCTCCTTAGATCTGTAGAAATTTCGGCAGCGCTTCCCGTAGAAAAAGTGTTATTCCAGAATTTATACAGAGCTAAGTTTGAAATCTGAAATGACTTTGATTTTTCAAGGTCTAATTTTGTCTAACTTCCTAACTTAGCAAAAATTTGGGCAGCAATCCCTTTAGACAATGAGGTTTCTCGTATTTTTACTAAGTCAAAAAGTCAGAAAAGCAGGACCCTGAAAAGACAAAGTCTAACTGACTCCTTGGTTTTGTAGAAATTTCGGCAGCGCTTTCCGTAGAAAAAGTGGCTTACTAAGATTTATACAAAGACCAAGCATAATAAAAGATCCCAGAAAAAACAGAAATTGATCTAAGTAAAAAAAACATAGCTTAAAAAATGCAGGAATTGAAACTAATTCCTATGACTCTAGCACGTGGCGAGCAACTGAAGTAACTACCTATCAAACTGAAACTCAGATCAGATAGTCATCTCACTCAGCCACATGCAAGCCAAACCACAAAGGTAAGTGCTCTCACCATCCCAAGTTTATCTGAACAAACAATAGTTCATAATCCTTTAAATGATTTAACCCCTTATACCCAGCTTACGTAAGGCATAAGGTCCTGACACACAAACTTATGGAATGTGCCTTACTTAGCCAGACATAAAGTCAGGCCACCCAAACTTATGGAATGAGCCTAACTTAGCCAAAGAATATACAAAAAACAGAGGGCACAACTACATTTCTCTTCTTTGGGCATCTGACTAGGTCATCATAGTCGCCCAAAACTGCTTAAATAGCCATCATAGTCGCCAAAGTTGTATATATCTCTCTGAACTTAATCTTTAAAGTGGGCGTAGGATTGAACCATTCATCTTAGAAATAATGCTCATCCGACCCAAATTACCTTCAATTTTACTCTTAATTAATACTCTCTTCAGTTTTTGATAAGCTATAGTAAGGTCACCCAAACTTATGGGATCCTGCCTGACTAGCCTGTTCATAGGTAAAAATAATAATAAAATATAGTCAAATTATAACATTTGGTTCCAACTTTGAATCAGACCACCTGAACTTACAAAACAGTCTGACTCTCTGTCTGATTCGTTTCTCTCTGATCCAACCTAAGCGTGGCATTGGGCTAGATGACCTAAACTTATAATGATATGCCCTTTGTCAAGTTCATTTTTTCAAAATAAAACAGGAAGAGGTTGAGCCACCTAAACTTATAGAACGACTCAGACCTCCTCGTTCAAAACCAAATAAACAAAGGAAACCCCAAAATGAAACAAGGCAATCAAGGCACATGAACTTACAGAACATCTTGGCCCCTGAAAAAGTCAATCACAAGCAACACTCGCAACCAGACCACCTAAACTTATAGAATAGTCCGGTCCTCAAGGCAATCCCACAACACCAAGTCTCCCCAAACTTATGGGGACTTGCCAACCTTCAAAGCAATCAGACCACCTAAACTTATAGAACGGTCTGACGCCCCATACAATCCAAAATAGCGCATAGCACCGAGTCTCCCCAAACTTATGAGGACTTTCTTGCCTTAAACGACCCAGTCAAATCTCACGCAAAACTTCCTTCCTCCCAACCTTCCCCCCAGATACAATCCCTTTTTGTTCACTATATGCTTTCATGTAATTAATAAACTGAAACTGAGATTGCACAAACATTCTTTTATTTAGTCTGAATTTGTGTCTTGACAGTAAAACTCAGAGTCAAAGTATAATGCGAACAGTACACTCAGTCAAAACACAATAGGTAGTACAGATAACGTTATAATCTGGGTTTATAGAGGGGGATGGAAGGTTACCTTTCAGTTCCCTGCCCCAGAACTCCTCCTAAGTTCCGGCAGAGCTCCCACAATCGGTGGGGTAACCTCGCACGTAGGCCTTGCTGCGGTCCTACGGGTTGCAATCCCGCCTGCCGCCTTCCTCTCAGATCAGGACTAAACTTAGAGTAAAAAGGGCAAAAGATAAAGGGTCTGAGACTCTCGAGATACAAGAGGGGTACAACTCAACTCTCAGGAGAGGGCCTTGATACCTTCACTCGCCTGAGGGCCCCGCAATGATGGCCAAATCACGCAGCTGCTGCTGGTCAAACTGAAGTCAAACTGCCGGCAACCGAGTCGCAGCGATAACCCCCTTCAAAGTCCGACTACTCCTCTAAGTCCCAGCACCCCTCCTTAGACCAATTCCTGCTACACAGCAACCTGAAGCAATCTGTAACGGCCAACGGCACCCAGCAGCAGCTTGCAACAACATCTACATAGGCCAAAACAATAGGCTCACGGACCAAATCGCCATCATGCTAAATAGTTGCAGTCTCTT